TTTCTCGGGTCATATTGGTGAGAATGAAGCCCAGAGCAAGTTTATCAGCTCCCAAAATGCAAAATCGACTACAGTAGCTAACATTGCATATGAAAAGGTAAGCCGGATGTTATGCTTTTTTTGTCATTTGGTTCTTCCTTTGTAGAAGAACATCTTGTTGAAAACATGTTCCACTGTCTTCTTGCTAAATTTTGGTACTTATTGCTTAAATTAGTCTTACCATCTGAACCTAGCTTATAATAGATATTTCCTCAGAATTATCATCCTTTTCCAATTAGGGGGAAAATCAATTATGTGAAATCGTGGTCTTTAATTTGTAACTGCAGTATTTGTTCTGCAGTTACAAATAACATTACTTGCTATAATATGAAACATTCTTAACTTCATACAGTTATGTAGGCCACAAGATATTGTACTGAAAGGATTCAGTTTCCCAGTAAAAACAGATGACAAGCATGGAGATTCATCAGTTCCAAATGATTCCATGGGCATAAATGACGTCAGTCTTTGTGCACCGGATACTTTGGATTTTGAATGTAGTTCTTATCTGCAGTATTTAACTACATTGTTACCCATGTTTTCTTTTCCATTGTTCATAATTTATCATTCTGAACATTCACCTTATTAGTAATTAGCCACGACGTTTATGCAGATGACAGGACAAGTGTTGCTTCGGGTGCAAGGGACACAACTAACGGTATTAAAGAAGAATTAACTGCTGTTGATGTAGTAATTTCTGATGGCTTCGTGGCTGAGTCTCATCAAGAAGAAGAAATAGGCACATCTAATTGAAATACAGGTTCTGAAAAAAGTGATTTTGATTCAGTCGGTCAGTAAATGACTAAGTTGATGATGACAGTTTTACTTCCTCAAGCTGTTCCATTACTTAAGAGGTCTTTTTTTTTATAAGAATTTCAGGCCTTATTAAAAACCCCCTTCTTGATTAATGGAGCTAGTAGGGTAGCTCCTTAATCAGCGGAAGGAGGAAAAAAGTGCCTTATGATTTTATTAAACATAAGAAATTACATAAGATACAGCCTGGTAAACACCCTTAACAGAAACAGATAAACAGGGAACAACCCTAAACCACCCATAAACTACAACAGCAGTTCAACCAATCTGTCCTATTAACCTATTTAACAACACCTTCTAATACAATAAAAACCAACATTTACAACCAAAAATTAAAATAAACGTCTCTGAATACAGTTGTTCGAGCAATTAAGAATCAATTGAAGGAACAAGTTCTAGTGAAATAACGCAATCTTCGGGGACCCAAGAGTTAGGTTTGAAGGAATGATCAACTTCGTGCACCATGATTTTGAACAAATTATCGCCGACCTTCAACTCCATCAACTCATCAATTCTCCCTTGAACCTTTGTGAGTATTTGAATTTTATCCCGATCAAAAGACAATGGAAACTCACCACTGTTGTCGATTGCTACTAATTTACCCCACTTAGATGCAATGTTTTTTAAAGTATTCCAATTCCAAGCGTGAAAAGGAATACCTTCGCAAACTAACCAGACGCGACGGCACTCCACCACTAGGCTCTCTGACGAAGTTTCTACTTTGGAAAACCATTCTGCAAGAGTCTTCAGTTTCTCATCCTTCACTATTCTCAACGAATCGGAGTCTTCAAAAACCATTAGAACCGCATTTCCAGCAGCTCTCATAAGCGTGAAGCCAGCTAGTCCTTTGGCTTGTATTTGGTTAGCAAGATTACCAATTTTTATAAAGTTCTTGCACTACCCCACAAGACAGTTACTCAACACGTGAAGTTTATCTTCATCCACAACACCCTCAACTTCACAGAGTTTATTCCTCGGAATATCTTCCATCCCAACCTTACGTTGAACAACTGTCGATGACTTTCGCCAATAAAACTGTCGGGGTTTATGTTTAGCCAAAGAGACTCTAATTTTGCTGCCGTAAATATGATTACCATTCATCTTATAAATCACTTTCCTTGCTTCTTCAATTGTAGCATAGAAAATAAACCTGAAATGAACCCCATTCGAGTTCCTTTTATTAGGAATGAAGGCATCAATAACTTGACCGTGTGTGCCAAATATAGATCCAAGTCTCTTCCAATGGATCTTCTCTGGAAGGTTTTCGATGAAAATCGTGTAACAATCATTTTTGAACCCATTACCGATTTTTGGATGGCCTTCCTTTCACCCATTATGAAACCCTTTTCTTCTCCTTCTCGCCACTTCGGAAAACTTTTCATTGGAATACCCTTTCGAAGTGATCTCCTTGGTTCCATCATGAACAACATCAGCAACAGAAAGAGCTGGTGTTGGCTGTACTAATGTTGCTTTAACGGAGCACTTCTTCAAAGGAATGGTTGATATTGGACTTTCACCTGACCTCGCTGAATATGTTCCCATATTTTGCTGGTTTTGGGGCGTCGGAGAGTGTTTGTAAGTAGTACCGTCGGGCTCAACTGTCCAACCAGCCTCACGGGCTAAGACGGCCAGAACATCATTCATAGCAGCATGCGAAGGAAGAGGGAAGTTACCATATTGTCTCAATCCGGCCAGCATACGTCTGGTGAAAACTCGCCTGTGCCATTTTCGAGTCTTTGTCCTCTCCTTTTCTTTCTCCAATTCACGTTTGCCCTTGTCGGAGAAAGATGAAGTGGTTGCACCGGCATAACCAGAGGTCTTGAAAAACCTACCTCGTACATCTGCATTCTCCTTCAATTCTAATTCCTTTTCCCGCCTATTCAAATCTGTTGTTATTGCTTTAAGTTCCTTCACTCTCGCTTCTAAATCCTTGGCAGAATCAAGAAGAAAATCCATAGTTGCACCACGGCTATATGGTTCAAGAGGGAGTTGTGAATTCCTTGATGATGAAGGAGGAACAGCAGAGGGCCTCACAAAGGAAGCAACCATCGCTTATGTTGAATTGAACCCTCTAAGTCGGCTGGGCTGAGAGTACGGGGGTTGGGCTTCCATGGTTGGTGAGTTCTAAACTTTCACTGCAAAAGCAACGATTCTAGACAATAGATACTCGGGTTTTGGTCGCGAACAAACGCTGAGTTCAGAGGTGAGGCAGAGTCAAAACTGGACGGCTGGAGGTGGCTTAAAACTGTTGTGGTCGGTGTGTAGATCTACGGCGAAAGACAGTCTTTTTCGCAAAACTAAGGCCAGATCTGAACTCACCTTGAGCAGACGACCATTCCAGGAAAAAACGGCGTCACTCGGAGGTTTGATAATGGCGGCGGACGGTGGGCAATGAATGGAGGAGAGAAAAAACTTTTTCTAAAAACACCTGGGCTCTAGAGAAATTTGAAATCGCCTGGGTTAGAGAGAAGCTGGAGCTTCTCTCACTAACACTTGATAAATTTCCACTATCACATTATCTACTTAAGAGGTCTTCAAAGAAGGAAAAAAAAACATTTAGCCCATGCAAAGTATTGCTTCATGTGGTGAATTCTCAAGAGGACACCATTGAAACTAATTTGGCCCTTCCATCTTTCGGTACTGTCAAATCTTAGAAATTTTGAAGTTTTATCTGAACATGTTCATCTAGGACCCTAGTTTCATGTTAATCTTTTTCTTGCTGCTAGCTCCTAAGTTTTTCTACTAAAACTGCAGCCATCAGTCCAACTGAGGATGCAAGTACAGAACATGATACGCAAACGCATATCCAAGGTTTAAATCATGCTTTAGTTGTGTGAAATCTTGAACACTTGAACTCTGTTGTTCTTGACAGTTTTGAGGATGGTCGGGGATCATGTAACTAGTCAAGCTATATTGTTTTCAAAACATATGGAGGTTGATCGAACTAGTTTCAATAAAGATGCATTTCATTCCAACATTCAGGAACAGCTTAGAATCAATCCGAAGCAGGAAACATCAGTTTATTGTGGTGAGCTCGGTGGGAACCAATATAGCATCTGCCACAAGGAAGTAAACACGACTTTAAATAAAGAGCATCTGAAGAGTGATGTGACCAAATCTGAGTCTGTTTTAGGGTGTGTGTCTCCAATCATTAAAGCTCTCTTTGAAGATATTCAGGGTGTTTCTGTGAATTTGGATGATAACTCTGCAGCGCATCTGAAGAGTGATGTGACCAAATCTGAGTCTGTTTTAGGGTGTGTCTCTCCAATCATTAAAGCTCTCTCTGAAGATATTCAGGGTGTTTCTGTGAATTTGGATGAAAACTCTGCAGATACTGGAAACCATACTGTGGAAAAGAAGCCCAAGAAGGCACTTTACTGTGCTGAAGGTAAATGACATTCAACCAACCTTGAAATTTTAGTTGTCAAATTTGATTTCAAGTCCTCACAGGTCTAGCGACTATCTCCTAAACTGATTGATAAGATATCAGTCTTTCGCAGAATAAAAACTTTCTAGTTTCCTACTAGCCTGTAACCTATACTTAAATTCTAAATTATCTTCATCATTAGAAACTGTCACTCAAATGGAATGTACATTGTCGAAATACAGCTCTTGGAGTTGCATGTCATGCAATTTACTGAATTCCTGGTAGTCCATTTACGTGTAACTGCATGAAAATTGTGTTCTTTTTGTCAGTTAATCATGTTTTTTATTACTTTCAATTTGAAATAAATAATCATGTTTCTGCAGTTGAGGATACAGATGATATTAATTCAAGAGGAATTGCAACTCCATTGAAATTATTAGGGAAGGACAGTAAGGCTGAAACCAGGGCTCCTGGTACTAACTCTTCTCATCAAACACAAAATAAAGTATATACCAGAAGGAAAGTCTCAAAACAAGCTTATTCAACTAGACTCTACACTGCTCCTCTCTCTGAAAGTATCATATACAGAAATTCTGGAGATGATTATGACCCTGATAAGTCTGGTATGACAGGAGATTCAATTGTTTCTAAGAGTTGTCATTCTTCTGATGACAAACGATGCAGCTGAAACATATTTGGTAATACACCAATACTTGATGAGGAGAAAACTACTACAAATTGCAACCCTGAAATCAGTAATATAACACCTACTTATCTAATGAAGTCCAAAAGTTGACTTGTGTCTCTAAAGCAAAGGATGCATCTCACTTACTTGATCCATCTGTTTCACTTGAAAGGATATTTCAAGAAAATTGTCACGAGGAAAAGCTTGAACATAGAACTATTGTAGAAAACGGCTGTTCTGCATCATGTCAAAACCAGGTGACTGGTTTTTGTGACGAGAACTTATCTATATCAATGGGGGTTCAAGGTAGTTCAGATGTCAACCATTAAAGGGATGTAGAGCATACTAGTGACCTAAAGGGCATTGTCAACCTTGTAGGAGGCTATTTCCATCCTTTGCCTATTATATCAGTATTGCTGGGTACAAAAGAAGAAGAAATCCACATTTGTGTTTCCTGTGGTCTTCTTGTAGATGGGACAGAACCTTGTTTGTCTACAAGGTGACTACTGAAGAACAAAGGAAAGGATGCCCTTCTTTTGTTGGGTACACATCTGTAGCATTACCATCTTCTGAAGTAAGCTTTGGTGGACATTTATGTTTTTATATATAAACTCTTCACAGCTATTTCTGTTGTACTTATTGATTACTTGACTTGGTGCTTACATGGTCCGTGATGAAATTTTTTATTTTTTATTCTTTCCTAGATTGATGAAGAAAGACGTGGCTTACAATTCACCCCAGACGGGCAGTGTCTTGTTTTACTTGACAGTATTAAAACACCTTATTACAGGTTAACTGTTTCTTTAGGTTTCTATCACGTCAAATTGTTTTGAAACAAATATTTTACTAATATCAGATTTATTTTCTTAGGGAAGGGAGAAGAGATTGTATCTGCTCAATTTGTCTTTCAGGCTGCGCGAAGGAGAACGTGGTAAAAATTGTGCGAATAAATCCTGGTTATTTTTCTTTGGTTGCAAAGGTGGAGACAATTCAAAGTGTGCAATGTATATTGGTTTGTGAAAATGACTATCTGCTAGCTGCTGGAAAGAGTGGGAGACTGCATCTTTGGGTCATGAATTCAACATGGAGGTGAATGTTTTCTCTTGCTTTCCATGCAAACGTTGCCTCTTTATTTTTATCGGGGGATGGTAAAGTCTTCCTTTTATTATTTTTAGAAGTGCCTAGTTTGTGGTTTTAAGCATAGGTTCCATATTGTGGCAGAAAACCTATTATGCTGCAGACTGTCAACGTGTGCTTTATATAATTTGAAAATAGATTAGTGGAAAATTTATCCCTTTTCTTTCTGATCCTCTTCAAATATGTTCTCTAGCATAATTTTTCTTAACGAATCATGCAACTTTACCCATATTGTCCACTTTTTGCAGTGCATGGACAGAAGAATTTATTATACCTGCTGGCGACTTCATATCTTGTGTAGTGGAGCTGAAGAAAATTCGAAAGTGTGTTCATTTGGTGATCGGACACAATGGTTTTGGAGATTTTGTATTATGGTATGTTGCTTTCTGCTTAAAAATTATATTCTTTTATACTGTTTGGTGATTCTGAGTTATAGTTTCACTAATTGCTGGGTAGCATTGCGGAAATATTAATAGGTATTGATCTTTTATATCTTTTATGCATGATTTGCGCATAAGCTATAAGGCTTCAAAGGGGTTTTCATGTATTTGCCTTCCCATGAAACCTGATTATTTACTGATAGAAAATAGGTTTTACTTCTCAGGGATATTATGAAACGGGTCAGTATCTCAAGATTTTCTAGTTCTGGAGATCCAATTAAGCAATTCATACCAATCAGTTTACTTAGTTGGCAGCCTGTATTCAGCTATGCTGATATGAAAGGGTGCATTGATGAAATCCTCGCAGCAACAAAATTTTGGTTTTTGGAACGTAAGGATCGCTCTTTTCTTCCATTGGAGGGGGAAGATGTTGCAATCTGGCTTCTTGTCTCAACTACTTCTGATGCTCAGCATGAACATTTATCAAGTAATTGCCAAGCAAATACAACCGGTTGGAGCCTCGCTTTGTTGGTGAAGGACACTGTGATTTTGGGGAGTACAATAGATCCAAGGTGCTTTAAAGTTCTATTCTACATCTTAAACATAAACTAGGCTTTCGCTTTCCTAAGGTCAAGTAGAAACGGAGTTGTGCTGTTGTGTTCATATAGAGAAAGCTCTAGATTACTATTGTATCAATTTACCAACCAAATGTGCAAAAAAATAATTGCTGAAATTGATTGTATAGGTTGCTGCAGTTGGTGCATCATTTGATCACGGGATCATGGGAACGGATGATGGTTTAGTATATATGTGGGAACTGTCCACCGGAACTAGACTTGGCGTTTTGCATCATCTCAAAGGTACGGAATCCACTTTAAGTTAAGCCTATTCATGGATTTACTCAGCATGTGTTTATATTCAAACTTTTTTAATATACATCAAGGATATACCCGAATGTTTGTAACTACATGAGTTAAATATGCCAAAGGTTCTTGTAGTATTTCAATTTAGTCATATACTTTATTTTTGTGAACTTGGGTCCCTGAACTATTTTTATTTGAAAATCTTGGACCCTCAACTTGGTAGCTATAAAAAGCCAAAATAAACTGTTTTAGTCCTCTACATTTACAATATCTATCAATTTGACCCTTAAAAAGCTATAAAAGTAGATGATTGAAAATTTATATTATTCAATTAATGATAATGCTTTAATTTACTTTTAAATATTAGTGGTCAAATTTATAAAAAAAGTAAATGTAAGAAGTTAAAAAAATTATTTTATTATTTTCTGTAATTGTTGGATTGGCAATTATCAGTAAGATTAAACAGAAGTACAAGGACTGTTGACATTCAAACCTTGGATAATATGCAACTGATGAGTGTAAGTTGTAATTATGAAGAATTCATTTGGTACGCTGTGATGATTTTGGATGGATAAGTTTTTATACTTAACATTTGTGAGTTTGGACAGAGTAATTGCGGTTTATCAGGTGGCAGTGTTTCGTGTATTGCAACCAACGAGGAGTGGAGGGCAAACGTTGTGGCTGTAGCTTCCGGTGATGGTCAGTTGCTGCTTTATTTTCACAACCAACAAACATAGGAAACAAGCTTTTGGAATAGTAAGCCTTTTGCTATTTGTTCACACTCTTCCATGATTCCTTATTCCTTATTGTGTTTAAACGTATAACTCTACAGTTGATATAACCAAATTATAATTGGTCACATATATTCGATCAAAACTGTTTTTGATCGGTCACACATACATAGAATTGTGGCTCAACCTATGACGTAAATGAGGAAGAAACCGACGAAATTTGCACATTTAAGAAATAATTACAAATTTTGTAATTCTCAACTTTTCTGCGTTGTCTGGTTAGTTAAATCAATTTAAAAACTAATAAACACAAAAGGCTTTCTTTTAGATATGGATTAATTTTTCTGTAATGCCCTGAATTTTGGGTTAGTAATTTCGGTCAACTCGAAACCCGTCAGTAGAGCCTATTAGATTTTCCAAGCCAATTTTAGACCAATTCTTAAGAGTATTGGGCTTAGGTTGGCCCAATAATTATAGGAAAGTTGTGTTTTTAAAAGTAAATAAGAGAAGGATCTAAAGTGTAGTTTACCCTTTTTGTTAAAGTTGAAAACTTTCCCGTTCTTTTTATATCATTTCACGTAACCAAACTCCTCATAATATCTCACCCACTCTTCTTCTTCTTCATTCCATTAGTTTTCATTTCTTCTTCCTTTCAAGAGCCAAGTTTCAAGTAGGTAAGAATGTTTTCCTCTATCTTTCAATTTTTGTTTTAAGTTCCATTTTGTTAGGTTTAGAATTTGTTTTGAAAAATGAGTTTTATGGAAGTTAAGGGTATCCATGAATCCAAGCTTGGTTATAGTGTATTCAAGTTACCTAGAACATCTTAAGCTTTAATCCAAGAGCTTAATTAGTTTAGTAAACCTCTTTTATTGTCTTTGTTTAGTAAGGAAGGTGGGAGAAAACTCTAAAGCAAGAGGGAAAGAGAAGTTATCTCTTGGTTAACTTGGGAGAGTTTCTAACAAGCAAGAAGCAAGGTAACACACTATTAACTCTTTCATACTCCTAGTGATCATTAGAAATGAGATCTAGCTTGAGAGTAAGTTATAAAGCTTAATGTTATATGTTAATAGTAGATTACATGATTTATGTTATAAACATGATATAAAGCCTTATTTATGCTCCTTGTAATCACATAAGACTTTAAAGAATGTTTGGGGACCTCACTAGGGTCTTTGGAATTGAAATATAGCATTTTCGTATGTGTTTTATAACTTCTGCATGTAGAGCATAGTCACATGGATCGCGGTACGCTCCGGTACGGGAACATGGAACGGGATCGCAATTTGCTAGGTCCCTAAAATTCAGTACGAGGGGGCAGACTCATTTCGGATCGCTCTGGTATAATGTACCATATAAATTGGTACGATGTACCAGTTTCTTAGGTTGATATTTTTCTACATCAAATTTTATAAGTAACTTCAAGACTTCAAATATCTTAGAGTAACTTCAATACTATAGATTTCATTCAGTAACTTCAATACTTCAAAGTTGAAGGACTAAATTTATAAAGTTAAAGGACTAAATTTATAATTAAACCAATATTTTAAATAGTAAAAATACAACAGTAAAAAGAGTTGGTCTTTACTTGGGTTTCTCAATTATTAACTTTACTTTTTTTCTTCTCACACTTCATCGCTTCCTCATCTTCCTTTCTTTTTCTTCTCTAAAATGCCAGTCCATCTTCCTTTCTTTTCCTTTACCAAATTACCTATCAAAAAAATTTGTCGACTCTACCGTCAACTGGCAAGATCGGCCCTTCCACCGTCTTCGTTACCGCCCCTTCTCCTACTGAATCCTTACCCCTATATTTGTTTCTTTGTTTTTGTTGTGATGGGCTTTTGTTTCCTTTGCTTCTACTGTGAGGGTTTTTGTTTTCTTTGGTTTGTTGTGGTGGGTTTCTTCTTTCTTTGGTTTGTATTCATGGGGTTTATGCTTCCATTATTTTCGCTATGGGTTTTTGGTACACTAATTTCACCGTTTTGGTACGCGAACGAACCGCGAATTGGAACGGACGAACTGAAACGAGATTCGTGGGGTGGAACACGTTTATACCGCGTTTTGGATCGCAACGTACAGTACGTAGATCTTGGGCTATTGAGCGATTTATGTAACTATGATGTAGAGTATCGATATTATCGATATTTGTTCTTCATTTTGGGCAAATTTATGAGTTTCTGGGCAAGAGTATCAAAACTTTGGGTCACAGTTTCGAAACTCCTAGAAAATTTCGAAATTGGGCAGAACAAAAGGTTTAAAAATATCGGTACTTATATAAAGTATTGAAACTTTTGCAGGAGTATTGATACTTTTGGGCTAGTATCAATACTTTCAGTCTGTTTTGGGTCAAAAAGTCAATTTTCGAGGGATTTAGACTCGAGCTACCCCAACACTTCTTTATATCACCAAATAAGACTACAAGAGAGAACATAATTGATGTTTAATTCAAACGTAGAAACCAAATAATTAGACACAAATAAAACTAGCCTTGTTTGAATGTTCGGGAAAACGACCAAGATACTCGAGTTCTTTTAGAAAAGATAGCAGAGTCGAAAGTATAGATTCAGTCTGAATATCCTTAGGGAGTGTGCAAGGGACTTTAAGCTGACTAGTTTGGGCGCAAGGTCTGACACTCAAGGAGTGGGCTAGTCGAGAGTGTGGTGTCTGATGTAGAGATTCCGGGGGCCACATTCTTAGTAGACTAGAGGGGTGTGTGAGCTTCGAGATGCAGAACCTTCAGTCGCACCATAATGTCTACCATAGAATAGAGAGTGAGTATATGAGTATATTGACTAAAGCATAACAGAACAGACAGTCGTAGACTTGATAGCTTGAGCATTTCAGTGACAAACTTTTAGTATGTTTTCGTTGTTAGATCGAGAGTTCGAGGAGCAGTAGATAGATCAAGGTCCAAACTCGGTGCAGATTCAGAATACGTCTCAGTAGTTTTTGAAGGGCATGTATATTTTATAAACCCTGTTGTATCAGTTGAGTCACAAATTTTACTAAGAGCCGGTCTATAATGTTTTGGTTGTAAATATTTATTTTGGGAGCTTACCAGTATAAAGTTTTAAATTATATTATTTTATGGATGTTTTATTTGTGGAAATGGTCATTTTATAGTACAAGAAAAGAGTAAGGTGTTGGTCAGTCACTCTAGTAGTTTCGTTTGGCATCTTACATCAGTCGACTGTGTATTGTACTGGTGTTACACTTTCCCATTTAGGTTCAACGAGCTGATTAATAAGATGAAATAAGTAAAGTGGTTCTTGAAGTCCCATTTGACAGATGGAAGGGATGTATGATTTTTGGAGTCCCATTTCAATTCGATGATATCAGATGCTTGGATTATTTTATGATCTGAAACATAAAAATGTTAGAAACAGTTGGGCCTAACGTAAAGTTTCATACTATTATTTATTAACATTGATTCATTGATACGTTGTACATATGTTCACAAAAAAATACAATGTCCTCTCAGTTCTCTTTCACTTGCAGCAAAAACAAAGATCATTACAACTTGGAAATACATTAAACTTCACACACAAAACAGTAAGTAAACAGAGTTGGAAACTAAAATTTTCATGGAAGTTGTAGTCAAAATAGATACTTTGAAATTTTGCCCCATCATACTTTTCGAAAGCTAAAAACATCAAAACGTAAATATCCTCAGTTTAAAAAGGGAAAAAAATTATCAGCTTTCAGTTTAGTTCTCGCTATCAGTCCCTTTACACAGATTGAAAATTTATTGTGAAATGAAATAATTAACTAATCAACCTATAAAAAAAACTGTTAGTTGAGCATAAAAACATTAAAGCAGGGTTTTTTTCATTTTTTTTTAAATTTGAAGTTAAATTTGGAGATCATGACCTGTAACTTCTAAGTACACAGCTCGAAAAGTATTAGCTTATTTCAATCAAACAAAATATCAAAAAAGAGTGAATTGAGCTTTAAATTTTTTTTATGGTGGCTGAGAAGAAAAATAAAAAAACAATGAGACGCAATAACTTAGAATAGTTTGACTTTTAAACTAATTTTACATCTATTATCTTAATATATCATCTTTTTCAAATTCACTAATCTGAAGTTCAACGTTTGAGGGCAACATTTAATCTTGTAATTCTTAAGATTTTCTGCCGAAATCTTAAAACGAAGTACTTAAGATTTCTATCCAAATTTTAAGCTCAAACCTCTCTCAAAGGAGAAATATAACTTTACTAAACAAAGAGTAATCATCACAAGATTAAGTGATGATTAAGAGTTTACACATTTAAGCTCAACCCAAATAGCAAATGTAAACAATTATGACTCGCAAGTGCTTTACAAGATAGAATGAAACTTTAAAGCTCAAACACTATTTTTTTTATGCTTGAATGTTGATTTGTACTTTTTTATTGTTTTTCAACTTATTCTTGACCTAAAACTCACGATAAATAAAATAAAATAAATACTCCATGAAATTCAATTTCAAGAAAAGTTTATCTCTTTTCCTCTTCCTCTGTTGGATTTCTAGTCTCAGATTAAAAATGGGTTGAGGTTTTTTTAAAAAAAAAGAAAGAAAGAAAGGAAAGTTGATCTCATTGAATCATTGTAGGTTAGACTTGGTAGAATTCAAATACTTTTCCATCCCTAAGTTGAACAATAGCTAAAAACAGAATACGAGTTAAAATAGAGTTTCTGGAATCTGAAAAAACCCAAAATTAGTTTTTAAATTATTAAGCTCAGTTGTTGAGGTTCACAATGTATCATTCTCCAAAAGATGCCTCAGCTCAGTTGTTGTACTGCCAGAGGTTTGCTTTGGTGGAACCTCAGCTATTTCCACAAGTATCTTATGCAGCCCTTGAGGCCTTGAGAAAAAAGGGGCATGATCAGATCCCTTAAGCCGGAATACACGTTCCGGTGGATCGGATTCGATCATTGCTTTCTGTAAATACATGGATATGGCACGGTCTTCTTGAGTTTTTATATAGAATCGTCGGATCGAGCCGTAGTTCGTGTCGGAAAGAGTAAGCTTCTCTAGAACCGGCTCCAATGGGATCGGTCTCATTGATACCGATGCCAAGGCAACGTCCTGCGACGAAAACTGTTTTAACATCCTTGAGCAATTGAAATTACAATCACAAAACGGTAAAAAAAAATATGTTTTATTTTGGAGGAAAATACCTTAGCAGAACTATGATTAAATAACAGGTCTCTCAGCAATGTTTTATCGAAATCCACAGCTGTCGGGGGGTTATTTCTACCATTTCCATACAAAAATATACGAGCCTCTCGCATTAGATCATTTGAATTCATCTGCAATGCAATGAAGTAATAGTTTATATAAAAGCAGTTTGATAGGAGACTGACGCAAGATTTTATATCAAATATATGAAGTTAATAAGTTATATTAGAAATTTAAAAGTGCAAAATTATAAAATTTCAGAAATGCGAAATTAGATCATTAATAAAAAATATCTAAATTATATGAGAATTTGAAATTAAACTTGTTGGGAGAATATATCCAGCGCATTCTGGCCGTTAGTCAACATTGCTGCCGCAATAAACACTGCTTTTGCAATCTTAGATGGATACAACTCCATCACAAAGGAAATACAAGCACCTCCAAAATCATGTCCCACCAAAATGACCTGCAAATAATCAAATACCTATATGATCAATCAACGTATATTATTAGTCCATCCTTACTCAGAGTCTTCATTTTTCTAACAAAGTGTTATTAGTTGTCATGCAAAATTATTAGTTGTCATGCAACTAATAATAGTTGTATAATGCAAAATAATGGTTCATAATGCATTGTAAGTTGACAACAATAATGGTTCATAGGTGGCACTAATAATGGTTGAAAAGTGACATGGCAAAATCTCACATTTAGTCATTGTAATTTATGGTATTTTCAAGATTAAAGCTTCTACTATAAATACCCTAGCTCATTTAGCTTCAAAACCATCTCAAAGCATTCTAGCTTTCTTCCAATACTAGAGAGAATTTAGAGAGTTTCTTGAGAGTTGTTTTCTTCTTTTTATCAAGAGAGAATTATCATTGTTCTCCTTGGTAGATAGAGAGAAGTTGTAATTCCTATTTTCTCATAGTGAAATTCTTCTACCGTTGCCCGTGGTTTTTACCTTATATTATTTAGGGGTTTTCCACATAAATTTTGTGTCTTTTTTATCTTCATTTTTATTTTCTCAAATTATCAGTTGCGATTTTGCTCTATCCAATAACCTTCTTCTGTAACAATTGGTATCCTAGCCAGATTAGAGTGTGTAATATCTGCTTATTGTCTTTTTGGTTGCCACCAAAAGGTGGATCCTCCAACATAAGAAAGTAAGAAGGTATTACCCATTCTTTGAAGGTTCCAGAGAACTATTCACGATAGTGAAATAGTGGGAGCTATCCGTAAAAGAAGCTATGGCAACGAAATTTGATATTGAAAAATTCAATGGGAGATATTTCTCATTATGGAAATTGAAGATGAAGGTTATCCTGAGGAAAGATGGTTGTCTAGCAGCTATCAGTGAAAGGCCGGTGGATTTCACAGATGACAACAAATGGATCGAAATAGACGGGAATGTTATGACAAACTTTCATCTAGCATTAGCAGATGAAGTATTGTCAAGCATCGAGGATAAAAAGATAGCTAAGGAGATATGGGCTCATATCACCAAACTGTACGAGGCCACATCGCTGCACAATAAAATTTTCCTTAAGAGGAAATTGTACACTCTCCGTATGTCAGAATCTACTTTAGTGACGGAGCACTTAAACACACTGAACACGTTATTTTCTCAGCTTACATCCTTAAGATGTACAATAGGAGAACAAGAACGTGCTGAACTTCTACTTCAAAGTCTACCGGATTCGTATGATCAACTCATCATCAACTTGACAAACAGTAATGTCACCAGTCTAGTCTTCGATGACGTTGCAGCTGCTATTCTACAAGAAGAAAATCGGCACAAGAACAAGGAAGACAGATAAATAAATCTGTAACAAGCAGAAGCGTTGACAACGATGAGAGGGAGATCAATAGAACGTGGTCAAAGCAGCACTCACAAACATGGTAGATCGAAGTCAAGAAGCAAGAAGAATTTAAAGTGTTACAACTGTGGAAAGAAGGGTCACTTGAAGAAGGATTGTTGGAGTCTCACTACAGCAAAACTGTTCTGTAGCAGCGTTTTTAGCGGCGTTTGGAGAGTAAACGCCACAAAATTTAAGCATATAGCGGTGTTTATAATCCAAACGCCACAAAATGATACTTTAGCGGCGTTTCTTAAACAAACGCCGCTATAGATTAGTACTTTAGCGGCGTTTTTATACAAATGCCGCAATAGGGATTGTTTATAGTGGCGTTTTTCTAACAAACGCAGCGATAGATTAGTACTTTAGCAGTGAATTTTTATACAAACGTCGCAATAGGGTTTGTTCATAGTGGCATTTTTCCAACAAACGTCGTAATAAAGAGTACTTTAGTAGCGTTTTTATATAAACACCGCAATAGGGTTCTTTATCGGCGTTTATGCAAAAAATGTCGCGACGACGTAGTACTTTAGCGGCATTTTTCTACAAATGCCGCAATAAATCAGTGAATTAGCAGCGTTTTTAAATACAAACGCCACAAAATAGTAACATTAGCGGCGTTTTTAAAAAAACGCCGCAAGAAATCGGTCCATTAGCGGCGTTTTTAAACAAACGCCGCAATAAGTTAGTGAAGTAGTGGCGTTTTAAATACAAACGCTGCAAGTTTTGGATATTTTATCATCAAAGGTTTCCCCGTTTACCCAACAATAGCTACGAAAGGGGGATTTCTATCGGATACTTCTTTTTCCCCTCTCTAATTTCTCATTCACTTCTTTGTTTTGTTTCTCTTTAAATTTAAAAATTTCTGGGCTTGCTTTAAAATCTTCAAAGGCGTTCTACCTTGGATTTCATTTTCCTTATTTTTTCCAAATTATTTTTGTGATGTTTTAGGGTTTAGGTTATTTATGTAAAGCGGGTCTTGAAGGAGCTCAAGGGTCTCCATAAAGATCTTCCTACCTCTTGTAGTGCAGGTTCAATTTGTTCTCTCTTTTACTCCGTTTTGTGCCTTGATTTATTATTCTTTTTCTTATTATCCTCGAGGCTCCAACAATGTGTACAAAACTACAAATATGTCCTGAAGAAAGAAAATAAAAGAATCATTTTTTTGAAATATGAGAAAACAGATCTAGAGGAATGCCAAATTGTATCATTTTCATAGGGAATTCAGGCATAGTATTTATCTTACTTTTCCAAGAGCAATAACTACTGGATATATAACTGCTATGCCATAACTATCTGGTTATACAAGTTATGCTAACTGCTTATTGTTGATGTAATGTATCTGGAAAATTATTGTATGTGTTTTTGGCTGTGCATCTATGTTTGTCTACTGCAGAAAGATTGATTGTTTAAGGAAAATAAAGTAAATATATTGGAGACACCATATCCTATCTAACTTCTATTATGGACTTTTTATAGGTTGTATTGAATAATGCTACAGTGGAAACTGACAATCATGATTTACGGGACCGTGCATATATTTATTGGCGTCTTCTATCAACTGATCCTGAGGTATGTTTTTATTCTAACCAATTGCAGTTCACTATTCAATGATTTTAGTTTAAAAAGTCCGAGGAATCATTTTGATCTTTATTTCCTTTCTTACCTTGGAGGGGAAGGGCTAGATTACTATTTTTCTCGAATTACCTTCATCTCCGTTCTAAGGACTGCTCTGAGGATTGGCATACTATATGATTAAGCTGAGGTTTAGAATGCCTTTCACCATGTTGGTATTATTAGCATGCGTCTTTTATATAACAGTTTTTCCTGTCCATGTATGGTCGTCTTCTCTTGGAATGTAGCTAGTCTCAATAGTTGGGTCGCGATAGATATTTGAATGTAGATGTCTTTGCTGACATGAATGCATCTTTATTTAAAGGTACACTACATCTAGATTGCATGGAGGATGTTTTTGATTTTCTATTTGTTCTGTCAGGCTGCTAAGGATGTTGTGTTAGCTGAGAAACCTGTGATCAGTGATGATTCAAATCAATTAGATTCATCCTTTCTTGATGAGCTTCTTGCCAACGTAGCTACGCTATCTTCTGTCTATCACAAACCTCCTGATGCTTTTGTAACCCGAACAAAGACTGCAACTCCAAGAACTGAAGATGATGACTACCCTGATGGAAGTGATACCAATATCTGAAACACTTTCAAATGCTGCCAATGGTGGTGCATCACCACCAACCAGTTCAAGTAGCGTCCCATATGTTGCTGCTAGCCAGCCAGCTCCTGCCCCTGCCCCTCAAGTGCCTGATCTATTAGGTGATCTGATTGGTCTTGATAACAATCAAATTGTCCCCGCCGATCATCATGCTACATCTGCTGGGTAAGTATGCTGGAATGCATTCGTTTTCCAGATAGAAGTCTTATTTTGCTGCAAATGTTATAAATATTTTAAAAAACAAGTTTCTTACACCAAAACAGTCTAGGTTTCTTTTTATGTTATTAGTTATGTATCTTATAGATAACATGCATGCCTATATTGTTGCACTTACTGTATTTTCTTTACCTTTATGATTGCAGCCCCCTTTGCCTATTTTGTTACCAGCATCAACTGGACAAGGTTTACAAATCAGTGCACAGTTAACACGACAGGATGATCAAATATTTACAGCTTGCTGTTTGAGAATAACACACATCGCTCTTGATGGGTTCATGATTCAGTTTAACAAAATTCGTTCAGTCTGGCAGCTGCGGGACCTCTTCAGGTAATCACAATTTGTGTGATCTTTACACTTTTGTTAGTTTATTGTTGCATTTTCGGGATATAACTGGTAATGTCTGTTAGGGGTGCGGTGCCGTGCATGTCCGTTTTAGTTCCTGTTAGTTCTTAACTCAATTGTCCCAGGGTCGTTTCCTACTGTTATGCCAAATTTTCTTGTTGGGAGGAGAGGTAATGGTTAGATCTAGCTAGTTTCGAGTTTGTTTTGGCCGGGATTCATTGTTGTCTGTTTTTTAGGTGCTTTGGTGAGAGTTCGATTTGTGTTTTTTGGGGTGGTTTGTGCTATATGTGTGAAGTTTGGCCCCGGTTTGTTTAATTGGGTTTTTGGATTCGGTTGTTTGCTTTTACGGTGTAATTTTTGGTTGTAAAAAGTTTAAATCGGAAGTAAAAGTTCCCAGGTACTAATCTATATTTTAATTAAAAAAAGCAAGTTGCAAAGGAGAAAGAAGAAATTTTTGTTATGTGCTAGTTTCATAGCAGAGTTCACTGTATATTAACTTTCGTTGGTGATTCACAACTTCATGATATAAAAAATGCTTAAACATATTCATCCTTGTATGTATTATCTGATTTGGTCATTTCATCTTGATCAAATAACTTTTGTGCTTCACTGGAATGTTTCACTCATTTTTTGTTACTATGTTATGATGTTATTTTGGTCTGTACTGGTGAAACCATAATTACTGCTTTCTTCATTTTAAATATGATTGTCTTCATTGCAATGCGGAGTTAGTTCATGCTTTTTCCATGTTTTTGTTCTTTAATTGTTGGTTTTGTTTTGTTCACTTTCTCTCATATAAATGTATTTTTCAGTATAAATGC